ATACATATACATATATATATATATGTATATATATATATATGTGTGTATATATATATGTATATTGTTTTGGAAATTGAAGTACATATAATTAACGTGTGGATCTGATTATTGATTGTTGATGAAAATTTGTAACAGAAAATTATGTGGAAGTTGAGGATAGCAACAGGAGATGGTGAAGAATGGTTGAGCACCACCAACAACCATGTCGGTCGCCAATATTGGGAGTTTGATCCCGATGCAGGAACCGATGAGGAACGAGCTGAGATCGAAAGGGTTCGTGACAACTTCAAAACTAATCGATTTGAATTCAAACAAAGCGCCGACTTATTAATGCGTTTACAAGTAAGTCAATTAATATATATACATATATATATATATATATATATATATATATATATTTAAGGTTATTTTGTAGGGTACAAGTAAAAAATGAAGAATGAAATTTGAATATTAATTAAATTAATCGGTTTCTTTCTTTTCTTGTGAATGTTATTATAATATAAGATGAGAGAGGGACCATTTGTATGCATTTATTGTATGGAAACTGCAACAACAGTTTTGTATTATTTCCATAAAACACTCCATTTTTACAACCAACACTTTTAATCTATGATATCTTAAAAATTCATTTATTTCTGTTTGCATTCAGTTGTCCAAATTAACAGGGTTTTTTAGTCCTATGATTTTGATAATTAAGATATTATATATATATATATATATATATATATATATATAATTCAAACGAGAACAATATTTATTTAATAGAATAAAAAAACAGTCGGATCACATGTGATTTATGCTGACATAGAGAGGGGTTTCGGTGAGAAAGAAAGTTAAGGTGAGAAAGGTAAGAAGGGATTTCCACCCTTTGATGCAAATTAGAATGAGATATACTAAGATGCATCGGATCAAAACCCCGTATCAAGTGCGATTCATAGGTGAGTCTAAGATTAAAAATGGTCAAGTGTCCAAATCGCTTAGGGGTCGTTTGGTTCGCGGAATTCAAAGGAATTTGATGGAATTGGAATGACAAATTCATTTGACCAAATTCCAATTCTTTTGACCAAATTCCAATTCTTTTGCTTGGTTTATTTCTTGAAATGGATGGAATCCTTCAAATTCTAATGAATTAATTCCACAAATTAATGAATTAATCATTCCTTGAAATAATGGAAGAAATTGAATTCTATCACCGCCCACCACGATCATGCTATTATTGTTCGTGATGCCCCACTCCTAACCCCCGACCACCACCATTGTCGCCGCCACCCACCCCACCTACCCTATCCCACCCTAACCCCCTACCACCATCATACTACCAATGTCACCGC